AAGATATTCAAAGGAATGTAAATTTCATAATCGATTCCACAAAGCTTTACAAATGTTCAATATACGCACCAACTGTGTTTGGCAGGAGCTGGACTAGCGACTTGACATCGGTAGTCCAGCTCCTGCTAAACACGTTGTAGCATGTTTTGCATAACATTCTCCAGCGCCTCAGTGATTCTCTTATTAAGTTCCTAAAGGAACTTAAGAAGAGGGGGATATATAGACCTGTCCTTTCAAATAAACCCATAGAAAAGTCAGGTGGACGTGGTGGCCATTTTAAGAGAACATTGTCATTATCACTGTCACGCTCGGTCCATCTTTCTGGTAGATTCACATTGAGATAAAGAGATAAATTCATACAGTCAAATTCGTTAGCTTTACACATTTTGTGAAAATTTGAGATCATTTGAGCGGTAATTATCTCTGTTATTATAAATTAAAATGATGTCAATTTTGTGGGGGGCAATTTTGTGGGGGACAATTTTGTTGGGGACAATTTTGTTGGGGACAATTTTGTGGGGGACAATTTTGTGGGGGAATAATTTTGTGGGGGGCAATTTTGTTGGGGACAATTTTGTGGGGGCAATTTTGTGGGGGACAATTTTGTTGGGGGACAATTTTGTTGGGGACAATTTTGTTGGGGACAATTTTGTGGGGACAATTTTGTGGGGGGCAATTTTGTGGGGTGCAATTTTGTTGGGGGACAATTTTGTTGGGGGCAATTTTTGTGGGGGACAATTTTGTTGGGGACAATTTTGTGGGGGGCAATTTTGTTGGGGACAATTTTGTGGGGACAATTTTGTGGGGGCAACCTGTATTTATACTGTGGGTGGGGAAACATATTCATACACATAGAAATTTCTAATTCATTGTATTTCCAACTAATGAGTAAACATACTTTTCATATCATTAACTGTACACAAATGCATAATAACTAAATATGAATAGAAAACAAAAGATTTTGATTTAATAGAAATAAATTCTATTTATCCATTTAAATTGGTGAAATATTATTCGTAAAATACAAAAAAAAGAATACATAATCTTCATTTAATACTTTGTAGAATCGCTTTTATTCACTTCTACAGCAACCAACCTCTTCTTGTAGTTCTCAGTTAATGATATGCAAATTTTAGTTGGTATTTTGTTCCATTCATCTTCGCATATGGTCTTCAGATCCGGTATGTTTTTTTGGAGTTCTCGATTTGAATTTTCAAATAACGCCACAGATTCTCGTTTGGTTTTAAATCTGGGGACTAACTATTTCGGGATATTTATTTTATTTTCAGCATGCTATTTCTTAGTAGATTATGCAGTGTGCTTAGGATCATTATCTTGTTGTAAGATCCAATCAGTAGGAAGTTCCAAGACTTTTCAACCGAAATCATTAAATTTGATTCCAAAATATTTTGATATCCTACGGCATTCATTCTACAATCTGTTACTGATATATTGCCAGTACATTTTGTAGAAAAACGCCCGCAAACCATAATGCTGCTACTACCAAATTTCATGTGTTTTTTTTTTGTTTGAAGGCATTTCCATCTTTCCTCTACTCATTATTTCTAGAATTACGTCCAAACAACTCAATTTTGGTTTCGTCTGTCCGTAATACTCTTTCCCAATACGATTTTACCTTATCCTTATGTTCACGAACGAATTTCAACCTGGCATCTCTGTGTCTTTTCAGTAGAGGTGAAGTTTACCGAAGGGAGCGTGACTTTAGATTGTTCCTATGAATTTTATTGCTTATTGTCTGTTTAGTGACGCAGATTCCTGATGAAAGCAAATCATTCTGCAATTCTTGACCAGTAACCATTGGTTTTGTTTAATTTGATGCATTAATTTCCTCGAAGATCTTGAAGAAATCTTCCGTGGAGCACCTGTTATGCTTTGGTTTTAAACATTTTTGAGTTTTTTATACCTTGCAATGCATAAACTAATGACAGTAAATGAAATATTCAGGTTGTCTGAGATTTTCCTGTAACTTTTACCGTCTTTCCAGAGCTTAGCAATCAGTTCTTTTTGCGAATTTGTCAGTTCTTTACCACTTGACATAATGATAACCTTCTTGCACGAAAATCAATTAAAAAATGTTCTGTTTGTATTTCGTAGGCTAAAAATAATATTCTAGAATATTCCGCTTGAATAATCTAGAGTATTAAAGCAATTTAAAAGTTAAAATCTGAAATTTGCATTGTACGAATACTTTTTTCACCCATTAAAATGGATAAATGGGATTTTTTTCTGTTAAATCAATTGTTTTTGTATTCTATGCATATTTAAGTTATTATGCATCTATGTACTGTTAATTATATGAAAAATATGTTTATTCATTAGTTGGGAATACAATAAATTAAAAATCTGTATTTGTACGAATATTTGTTTCCTTTTCACTGCATATGTTTACGTGTGTGTGTTTTTTTCTGTATATTTGTATGTTTTTGTGTGTTTGTTTTGTTTTATGCTCTTTTCGTCAATAATGTTTTGTTTAAAGGCAGGGTTTGATTGGTCAGCCATTTTACACGAGATACCAAACTCCGAGAAAAGATGTCAGCCAATTCCGCCTGACATTACTGCAGTTTGTTGGTGATTTTTACCGATTTTCGTCATTTTTTTCTCTCCCGTGTATGCCTGATTGATTCCCTGTCAGACAATCACCGTCGTCAGGTAAAAGGGTTATGAAGAACGGCAACTATTTCCAGGTTGTTCATTTCATATACACACCCGGTTTGAAACCTTAAACTCGGGTGGCATGTGAAAACGCCCTCCTCGAGTTGCTCCTTCTAAGCACCTCGGAACTTTAATCGGCTTCACAGCCATTGATCGCTTTCATCTTTTCTGTGCACGATTTTTGAAACCAAACGAAAATAAAAGAATCCTGACGGCATTTTTGAGTTAAGGGAATATTTTATCATGAAACGTTTTTTCCATTTTTTTTTAAACAAAATCTATAAATTTAGAATTTTTATTATTTATTTATTTTTTTGTTTTCATTATTGTCAGTTATTTTTGTTTAGAAAGGAAGCAAGGACACTTCTACAGACAGTTATAATTTCCGGATTACATAACGAGAAAGGAGGGCTTGGCAAATTTGACACTCACACACAGGACATATCGAAGGTAAAAAAAGATAGAAGGCGGGGACCTACTTGACGAGTTTTGGGGAATGGATAACCGTAAGAACTGGGAATGGGAAGGTATGGTAAATAGAGAAAAAATGCTGAAAGCTACAAAAAATAGAAAGTTGTGGAGAGCCACGATCGCCTACGTTCTGAAGGGACACGGCACATAGAAGAAGAACGAGCTTAGGTAAATGAATGACACAACAAGGTTTAGGAGAGGTAAGAAAAAGATAAAATTTATTAAGAGCTACAAAGGACAGGAAATTGTGGAGAGCCACGATCGCCTATGTCCTGAAGGGACACGGCACATAGAAGAAAAAGAATGAATGAGTAAATGGATGACGGGACAATGTCTTAGGAAAAATAGCAAAAAGACAAAATTTATTAAGAGCTACAAAGGACAGGAAGTTGTGGAGAGCCATGATCATCAATGTCCTGATGGGACACGGCACATAAAAGAAGAATGATATTTTGTAAATGGATAGCGGAGCAATGTTCAGGAGAATTAACATAAAGACAAAATTTATTAAGAGCTAGAAAGCACAGGAAATAGTGGAGAGCTATGATCTCACACATTGACACACAGAAAAAGACTGGCAAAACTGTACAGAAAAAAATAGGCCTAGACATCCGGTACAGTGCCAAATGGCGGTAGGTTTGCAGCAAGAAAAGTTGAGGATTTTGTCTATAAGATTTGGAGTTAATTATTTGGCTTTATGACAGAGAGGAATTCTAGGCTGCCTTAAAGAGAAAAAATCTAACCGGTGTTCAACATGGATTTACAGCTTAATCAGTGGTGATTCTTATAAGTATGAAAAAGTTGTTTATAGATGGATGCGTTAGGACTTGTAGGTTTATGAAGTCTCTTGGGCACAACATTTTTGTTTGGTTGTTTTTGCCATCTCAAACTCTATGGGTTATTTAATTGTTGTAGAGTAGTTTTCACAGTGGAGGCTTGTATTTCACTGAGTCGGTCCTAAAAAGGTTCAACGTAAAAAACGTTAGAAACTTGAAATAATAGTTAATGACGCATCAATCTAGTTGTGGTGGTTGATACTTTAATGTCCGACATCGACTGACTCACCAACTCACTGAGAGCATTTAGTCACCCCCACCCCCCACGAGAGCATCATGTGGCACAAGTCCGGTTTAACGTGGGATCTCCGAGCCCGTGGGCTCGGCCAAAAATATGCCCATTGAACCCGTATAAACGGGTTCAGGGTCGGTTTACGTCCCCGAAAGAGAATCCGCCCTTCGGCGTAGCCTCGTTCGGGTTGCTCCCCGCCCGAAGGCAGAGAGTTCAACCGGTCAGCTGGTCGTCCGACTTCAGACTGAACTCAGACCAACTCACTGAGCCCCCCCTGGCGACTGCCACTACTACTACTACTAAGTGGGAGAGTCTATTCACAATAGAATAGGTGTGTTTCTCGTATAACATTAATACAATAGTTAGTTTTGTGTGTCATACTTGAAAAAGATAATGAAAATGAACTTATTACTGATGTACTACTCCCGAACCACCCGACCGGGGTCCAAGCTTGATTGAGGCCGCTGGACAGTGATTTTTTCTTCTACCTGCATTAGTTCAAAACGTTTGCGAGACCTTGTGGGTGATGAATTATTGTCTAAACAGCCCCCTTCCCATAGACTCATGATAGCGAACCACACGCCAATCTCTCGCCAATCTTTCAGGCCAACAACATTCATTATTGGCATCAGTTTCGTGACCTTTGCAGCCAACATCGGTTTCGCTACGTGCGCAGGGATTGAACCACTCGCATTCCTTTTGTATTTCAATTGTAAGTAGGATCTCGCACTCAAACAGCTTCTTCCCCGGAACTGTTCCCTTTTAATACTTTCCTAAACACTACAGGCTTACGGCCACGTCACGTTGAAACAACGGCACCTGAACGATCACCGAAGTTAAGCAACGTAGAGCCTGATCAGTATATAGATAGGTGACCAATTGGGAATTCCAGGTGCTGTAAGCTTGGATGTGCGGGTGGTGTAATAGATAATGGCTCAGAATTGTTAATCGTTCAGTTTGTTGTATTCATTTACGCGCCAATACTGTTGTGAAATACCCGTATTTTCCGGCTTACAAGACGCTGTAGCTTGGAAAACGGACCCTAATATTGGAAAGAAATTTCTAAGAAAAAAAAGTCATTCTCATACAACAACACGTTCACCATGCATCCCTCACTTACTGGCGCCACGTATTGTTCACATTAATCATTCGTCCGATTTTGTTTGTATGGCAATGACATGCTAGTCAAGAGCAGAAAGGCTCCCGCTGCTGCTAGTAAACAGAGCATGTTTAAGCTTGTGGCTTGGCTCCAGGAAGGTTTATAGTCTTGGAAATACTTGTAACAGCTAACTACTGAGCTTACATCATATGAAAGGCTAAATTAGATAAATAGCTATCATTATAATATAATGACTTAACATACAAATCCACGTCGCTATCAGTTAAGCCAATTAGGTAACCGGCCAAGATTACTTGAGCCTGGGCGTTGTCTTACATTCGTCTTAGAAGACGCACACGTACTTTTCAGGCTATTTTTTTAGGAGAAAAGGTGTCTTGTATGCTGGAAAATACGGTATATGAATCAACCTCTTCCCCACCTTCCTTAGTAAAACTTGTATCATTAAACCATTATTATCTAAAAAAATGTAATGTTCACTTTCTACTTCCTTTTCTTACGTTCATATTACATACTTGATTCTGTAATACTCTACCTTGAGTGGTTCATGGGCTTTGTATTGGGGGAATATTAGTGTCAAATGTTTTTGCAAAAATCATGGAGCAAATAAATGGAGACAGAAGCTTTTGTTGTAAAGAAAATTGAGTCCAAATTCGGTAACAAAAATACAACGGGGATAGAATTGTGTAGAAAAAGTAAAGCAGAATGTAATCGATTGAAACAGATTGACCTTCACCTCTATCGCGCATGTACACTATTTATAATAACTATCTCACTTCCATTGTTTACAGTTGTGCTTGGAAGGAAAGTGTATAGAGTGTGGTCGTCTCACTACACCATAAACGTTCCACCAGTGACCATGGCATTTATTTTTATATTTTCCTGAAATAAATAAATGTATCCATGTAACTTTTCTAATAATATCAATTTTCGCATTAATTATAGCATATTCTGTCTTTTTGATTGGGTAATTTCTTTTTACGGAATAGCGTTTCTTTATTTTGGTTGTTGTGCTTCCTTCATTCAGCCATTCAAATAGTTTCCGACATTAAATTTTGGTCTGAGAAAAGTAAGTTTCTCTCAAAGAACTACATCTAAATAGATCCAAACAAATTCTGCACATTGGTAATAAGGGAGATTTCATTGATACCTCATATCTAGATTGGCAGCAGTTTTTGGCCAAGGAAAATATTCAAAGGTTTGACAACCACCATATACACTAGGTTTCACTCCTTCGCCTTTCCAAAAATCAAATCTCACTTGAAAGGAACAAGATTTCAAGGGCTCGGAAATCCAAGTGAATGCCAACAGGTAGCTGCTCGCTATCCCCGAAAAAAAAAGGAGTTCTAGGAATGCTTCTATCAATGGAAATAACAGTGGACAAAGTGTGTAACGTCAGAAGGGGACTACTTTCAAGGAGATTAAATGCCGAATTGATATGTGATGTAGTTTTATTTTTTATAGCACCAATACCGATACTTTTTGATCCGACCTAGTAGGGTTTGAAAAAAGTAAATAAGCACCAATAAGGACGACAAGTTTGGTTTCTGTACTAATTAAAATTTATTATCCAAACCATGAAGAAATCAACCTATCAGTTCTCTTACCTGACTCCACAAATATTTGATCCAATAAATTTCATAGAAATCGTCATACACTTTTTCTATCTTGCAGTTTGCCTAGCAAACGAAACTCTAGGTTGGCTGTTAGCTGATTGCGAGATTCAGTGATTTGTTTTTTTATGGTTTATCGACCTTTTGCGGGTTATTTAAAGCCAGAAAATATTTTTAGATTCTAAGAATTTTTTGGTGTTAATAATAATAATTTATTAATAATTTAATAATATTTACTGATACAAGTCCTGCTAATTGATCCATAGCTGGTGTGGTAGGTAAATTCATTACCTTTCCCAAAGCTGGGCCATGCACATATACCCCCCCACCACACACACACGCGTCCAAGCTTAGAGTATCTGGTATTCCCAAGAGGTCACTAATCTAAGTACTGACCAGGCTCAATGTTGCTTAACTTTGGTGATTGTATGGGGATCGGTGTTTCAACATGAAATGGCCGTAACCTCATTATACTACCCGCACATCCAACCTTACAGTATCTAGTATACCCAAGCAGTCACACATATAGATACTCACCAGGTTCGACGTTGCTTAACTTCGGTGTTCGTATATAAGTTGCGGGAATAGATATTTGTAAAAGAGCAATTTTATTTTACTGGCAATCTGGTGAGAGCGGGAATTTGTCTCATCAAAATGCGGGAATGCGCATTTTGCTGTAGGTGACACATGGTCAGTCTTGATCGCTACTGACCTTGGCTGCAACAACATTTGGATCAAGTCCAAGGGCTGGAATAACCATCAGGAGTCACGTGGTAACCCCCCTCTCCTTTCCCCTCTCTCTCTCACACACATACACAGAAATCTAGACACAGACACACCAGCATGCTTGCAGACATATCTTCGTACATACCGAGGTATGTACAATCGTACAATCTGGTGTGCAGACACGCTTGCACACTGGCTCATCTGCACACATACACGCGTGTAAGGTACACTCATAAACAAAACACTCATACATGTAGCCAACTAGATACCTGTTCAGTTACACATACTCACAGGTGCGCACACACGTACATACGCTGGTCTTTGAAATGTACACTTGTGTAATTGAGAACAAAGAGCGGTGGTTGTTTTCACTTGTGTTGTCTTTTCGTTCGATCACGAACGGACATCATTTCGAAGTCGGGTGGGAGAGGGACGCGGTCGGCCGGGTGGAGGGAACGGGTAGAACGAAACAGATATCTCCACCCCGAATAAAATGCATGAGTGAATTTTCCAAAACAAATCATGATGATGACAAAAACGATCATTTATAATTGTGTGCAGTGTCAGAGAGAGAGAGAGAGAGAGATGGGGTCGGTTCAACTCACATCGCTTCGCTACTGATACAAATTCATTGAATCAGCGGGAAAAGATTTGGGTTAAAATGACCAATATGATCACAGATACAGAGACTGATATATATATATATATATATATATATATATATATATATATAAAGTTTCAAGTTAAAAATTATAATGTTTTATTTTATGAAAGTATTTATTTATTTATATATATATTTGATATTTCAAATTGTCCTCAATTTTTCATCAGAAATAACTGTTTGTTACAAATAAATTAAAATTACTGTTTGTTAGCAAGTAGCGTCCTTCGCGAGACGCGGACGTCACGTGATATGGAACGTCACTGTTCCGATATTTCTAACTTAAATCTAACTGTCATAAATATTTAAAAAAATATTTTTTTTACTATATCTAAAAAAATTGCTTAACTATTGAAATATTTATAAAGATTTAAAACACCTAAGTCCCTATTCAACCCTAATTTATGTGTATTTAATTTTAAAATCCAATATGTTTCTTTTTTTCTGCGTGTGAATGTGGAAGTAAAATCGGAATCTATTAATAAACATTTGCAGTTTTCTAATGTGTGTCCTGATTGATTGTAGTGTTTAGCTATGGGGGAATAAGGGTTGTTTTGACGTATTGTTTGTTTATGGAGAGCGAGTGAGATAGATATTAACAAAAGGAGATAGATGCATAGATAGATATGAACAGAATGAGATAGATAGATACGTACATAAATATGAACAGAATTAGATAGATAGATAGATAGATAGATAGATAGATAGATAGATAGATAGATTAGCCGGTTTCGACCGCTCGCGATCGCTTCGCAAAGTAAGATATATTCACTACTTGAAATCTTTGAAACAAAAATTTTAAATGAACATTTCATTCATAAATTGGCTTGTTATAGTTAAAGAAAGTTTTACAAATAGATGCCAACTTGAAGGCCAAGTAAAATGCAAATTTCAAATACTTTTATGCACTACATAAGACGATATTCCTAAACAGAATTATTATTGATATGAAAAACAAAACAATCCTCGAATAAAAGAACAGTAACAAATGGCAGTTAATCAATGAAATAATAATTTCAGTATGTAAATTATTATGAAGTAGACCTGGGACTTTTTAATCTCAGAATTCGTGAGAGAATTACGGTCCAATTTCGCATTTATTCGTATAGATTACCTAATATAGGTTTTTGCTTAATTAGCTATCATGTTTCTCTAACTCTTCAAATGTTGAATGTGTAACTAATTCTAATTTCTATTTTCCTATCTTTACACTATATTAAATTTATCTTATAAATTGTCCCCTGTTCTGTCAGATATAAAATAAAAACAATTGTTTGTACGAAAAATAAGGATCTACGTACATCAAATTGTCTTTAAATTAAGTGGTAGCAGAAGAATTATCGTTGAACTTTTAAAAGGTAAGCTTAAACGTTAATTCAATACTGAAATGCAGCGATCAATTTTGAGTTCTTCTGTAGTTTATTGTTGCCTATTGCATTTACTCAGCCGACAAGACGGCTTTTAAGCTAGTTTATAATAAAACGTGCACTGCAATTTTGGATACGAAAGGAAAATAGGAGTTACTCCCCTTGAACCATGAGAGCAACGATAATGCCTAGTATAATGAATTAATATATATTTTTAACCTCGCATAATCTGGCAACTCTGAATCTGAGCTCAACGAAAATCGTTCCCTGCGCCTAACTTTTCTAGGGCTTGTTGAATGAGTTATGAATCATTGAAATCGAACCAGCAGGAGCGGAAGAGTTGTTTGGACATACACAAACACGCACACACACATACACTGTACTTAATATATAAGATAGATAGGAACAGACTGAGATA